TGTACCCTCATGTGGGTGTATCCCAGGACAAGCACTTTTTTTCAGTATGTCTAGACTAGGATAAAAGTTGTGTTTTTAAAGATATTAGCTAACGCAACTTGACTAACACGTTTTGAAACCTTGCATAGATAGGACGAGTCAAATGCTAAAAAGTGTTAAAAAGTGTTTGCTAAGTCATTCTAAAAATACAACTTTTATACCTGTCTAGACAATGACAGAATACTTTTTAAAATGGCACGCCATGCTCATGGGAAGTCCCACTGCAACAGCCAAGGAGAATTACAGCATAGGAAATAATCAATAAGAAGTTTCTCCACAAAGGTCTTCAAAGCAATGGCACAGATTGACATGCGGGGAAACCCTGAAGGCCTTGTCTAGACAACAAGAGAAAAAAGATCCTTTTTTCAGTAGATTTAGTTCAGTCAGGCCCTCTTTTTTCAAAAGCAAAACCTACTAAAAGTCTACTGAGCTCATCTTCTGCTCAGTTTTAGCAGGTCATAGTCTGGGCTCCCGGCTGACTGTAACGCTGCCTGCTAAAATCATGTTAAAGGTATTGAGGTCTATGTGTTTGTCAGATGGGATTTGTAGTCCTTAAATAAGCTTGATTGAATTAGGTCTCCTGGAAATGGCCCTTTCCCTAAGGCTGATGAGATGGTAGCTCTTTTTTCCATGCCCGTTCAATCTTTTAACCCAATTCATTTGCCTAAATTGTACCAACAAATGCAAAGTTCAATGTGTCTTTAGCATTAGTATTTCTAGTCGACTGCGAGCACCGGCTCATTTCCTACAAGCCACCACACAGCAATTGGTTTTGACTTTGACTTCATTTTACTGAAACGTACTCAGACAAAACCCTCGATCTAATCTACTCCTTTAAACAGCTACTTGAAAATGTCTAGCCCACATGCATGCACACATACCCATCGTAATAATTGTCTTCTACAAAGTCAGCAGATAAATTCTTGGTCATTAATATATTTCCTTACACTGTTTTGCTTGTACCAAGGTGACTGGAGAGTGAACAAGTTAGAGTAACTGTTTCCCAGAATTGTACTAGCATCTTTGACATTTTAAACAATACTTTCAGGAAAGAAAATTTAAAAAAAAATTTAAAAAGGGAACAAGTCACTACCACGATTGAAGAACAAGCATGAGCCCAGCCTCTCTGACCGTTTAATGTCAGGCCCTTTTAAATATGGAAAAAAAAATACCATTAGTTCTATTTATTATTAAGGCTTAATGACATGGGTGGGTATCAGTCTGGTAGGAAAAAAATCTACATCTCAATTAGTCCCATTAGAGATTATGTCTTTATGACATGGGTGGGTATCTGACATTCAGGGGAAAATTCACAAGTCACCAACTCAATTGAAAGAGTCCACCAAATAATAATTTGCTGGTATAACTCCAAGTGACCAAAATAACAGAGTCTGGACTTGCTTGAGATCCCCTGGTTTTAGTAGTCATTTGTCAATAGCTCTCAAACAATGGAGTTGTGAAATGGCACCAGTTATCACGATGAGGCTTTTTCACGATTGTGTCAAGCTTTTTTGGCCTTGGGGTGCACCACCTGAAATACTTTAGAAATACACACTGATTTCCTGTAGGAGAAAACAAACCTCCTGTGCTCGTGAGGCCTGAAGCCAACAAAGTCCGCTATTCAGAATAAGACAGAGACTCCACAGTTGGCAAAGGCTCTTTGGTAAGCAGTTGTTGTCACCTACAGACCTGGATAAAATCTTTCTGTCCTTGCTAAGCCCAAACCACCATTAAACATTAATGGGAAGTTGATCTGAGTCAGATCAGCATGCTCTGACCTGCTGTTGATGCTTATTTCATGTTTTCAGCACTACCTTGAAACTGTCTCATGTGCTAAAATAACGCCTTTAAAATCTAACCTTTTTTTAATATATATACATAGCTGAAAGACAGTAATACCCATGCACAGATTTTTTGGTCTGTCTGATTTTTTTTGTCCTCTGAGGAGACATCTAACAGCAGATTTCTTCGGGGCCTAATACCATGTATTGTTGTCCACTAAACTGAGTGGTAAACCCTCCATTTATCCGATACGGCCAGAGGAAGGTCCTTTTCAGTGAAAGCGAACAATTAGGAGCCCTAAGTTATTATTTCCTATTATTGTGCAATAAAAGAGGCTCCGGCCATTTCAGCGTGAAGGATTAAAGTGTCCAGGATTGCAAACATCGTGCAACCACTTTCCTCCTCCCCCCGCCCCCGCACACCGCGGCAGCACTCGAGGCCCCCGGGGGGAGCGCCAGCAGGCTGACCCACGCGTGTCCCGGCCGCGTGGCCGGCCTCCGCGGACCGAGGGGCGCCC